TAATTACTTGGGACTAAATTTTAGAGAAGTTATGGAATACATAAGCATAAAGACTTGTGCTATACATATATTTTCCCCTTACAATAAAAAATAGACAGATGTGATTGCAGGAATTTTTGGTGCTTGCCTTTTAAAAGCACACATTTATTTTGCCCTCTTAGTATTATTAATTTTAGAATCTACAGAAATGTCACCTGAAGGAGCACTTTTAACACAGGTGCCAATGTACCACAGCGAATAAGAGATTCAACTACAAACACCTGATCACATTGCCTTGGAGAAGCCATTTAAACATTCATAAAGTTCAACAATTTAATCCCTGCCCCAACAATTTAATCTCTGCCCTAAAAGTGGTTCCTCCTGTTTAAACCTAAACTCAGCCAAGAACTGTAGGGTGGAAGGTTGTGGGTCCCAACTTCATTCTCCCTGGAATTTTCTAGATCAGGGGTGTCAAATTGGCAGTCTGCAGGCCAGATGCGTCACACACAGGCCACACCCACCCCAGCTCTGCAAAGGGGAAAAAAATCGCGACATGTCACATGACGACGTGACACCATGAGTTTGATGCCCGTGCTCTCAATCTTTCAATCCTGATCCTGCCTCCTGCTTTAGGATAGTCGCTTGGTCGTTTTTGGTACCACCTATCCTCCAAAAGATGTCTCACCTGGCATTCACATCCTAGTGCTAGTATGAGGATGATTTAGGTGCTCATTCTTTTACTGTTTTGTTGTTGCTGCTGTTTTGCAATTAAAAGGTCAAACTGCAAAAAACAAAATAATTACTATAAAACCACCTTCTAGTGTCTTGTGTAGAGGCTACAGAATGTAACATTTCCTTCCCTTGAGAAACTTTCTTGGGAGTTTACCTAAATTTTCTCCTTGGAAATGAAGTTTATTATAATATTATAAAATGTAAAAAATGTGTTTTAATGTTAAGTATTAAAATGCAATTATTTGATATAGAAGGAAATTATTAATCACAGGAGCCATGGGGACGCAATGATTAGAATGCAGTATTGCAGGCTAATTCTGCTGGCTGCTGATTGCCAGCAGCTGAGTAGTTCGATTCCCACTGGCTCAACATTGACTCAGCCTTTCATCCTTCTAATATCAGTAAAATAAGGACCCAGATTGTTGGGGGCAATATGCTGACTCTGTAAACTGCTTAGAGAGGCCTGTAAAGCACTGTGAAGCAGTATATAAGTCTAAGTGCTATTGTTATTGCTATTACAGAGATGCCCAGACCATGGTTACACTCTAATTTGGAAGTTAATTAAGAAAAATCTAAAAAACTACTGCAATATATAACTCATGGTATATAATGTTGCCTCCTCCTAGTCTCCCAACACAACAACTGTGAGTTTGGTTAAGATGAAAGAGAATATTGGCCCAAAGTGACTGGCCAGTGAGCTGTCAGGGATGAAGATGACTTGAATCTGAATCTCCTGATTCCAGGCCAATATCTTAATCATTATATCAGACTGGTTTTCTCATACCTTCACGAGATATATGGAGACTGAAATTAAATACCCAATTCTTAACTGCTGTAGAGATAAAGAAGATGAAGACTCAGCATAATACTAAAAATAGAAATCATAGTAGGGAATTGTGTGTTTAACACACATACACAAGCACTATTACAGGAATGAAAAACATCTTGAAGCAAACAGTGCTCTGCTTTAATGTTTTAAATTCCAGCTTGGAGAATTCTCAATACTAATCAGAGGTTGCTGGGGACAAAGGAAAACAGTAGAGAGAATCGTGAAGTAGAGCAGCGGTAGCCAACCGGTGGGCTGCAGCCCACTGGTGGGCCGTGAGAAAATTTTGATGGGCCACAGAGAAATCTCACCTCCAGAGCACCCCCCCCCCCAAAGCAATTAATCCAGGCTGCGCAGAAACACAAGGCTGCTCAGCCCACATGGCCCGCGGAAACCCTCCCCACCCACTCACTCCTTACCCAGCAAACTTGTCTGCTAAGTTGCTATTTTTCCTTTTTCCAACCATCAGCTGTTCTACTGTGCCGAGAGATTTAGATTAGCTGGGAAGGAGGAAATGGTTGGATTTCTTACTTTTTAGCTAAGCACAGCTGAACCTCCCTTAGGACTGAAGGTTTGCTTGCAAGCAAATTCAGTGCAGACTGAGCTAGCCAATGGCAGATAGATAGATTTCTTAATGAATCTGTGATTCTGTGAGCAGCGCAATCTGCCTGCCAGCTTTGCCTGATTTTGGGTAAAAGTTGCTCTTTTTTAATAAAAAAAATCAATATTTATATAAATATTTATAATATTTACATGCAAGCCATGCCCAGCCAGTCACATGACCACTAAGCCACACCCACAAATTAGGCCATGCCCACAGAACCAGTTAGTGGTCCCTGGGATCTAAGATTATGAGTTTGGGGGTCCCTGAGGTCCAAAAGGTTGGTGACCCCTGCAGTAGAGGGCGAGGATAAGATAATCTGATTGAACCCATCTAGGAAAGGACCAATCTGTCACTTGTGGAGATAAGGACTGTAAAACTGAGTCTGCAGTCTGGCATGCAGATAACTTTGACAACAAACTGGCCTCCCTTAGAGGATATGCAAGTATTGTTTCAATATTATATGCAGGATGCATACAGTTATATAAGAATTCTAGAAAACTTTGCTCTAAATCATATTCTAGAATGATCGTCAATACTATCCCAGTTGCTTCCTGAGTTTAAGAAAAGGGGATGGGGGAAGTGAAAGAGAGACAATAGGAAAAAACATTAAGTTCTGGTTGTTTTTATTCCACTGGCCTATTGTGACTTGATTTTAAAAGAATAGTTTTCAGTACATTACTGCATTTTCATGCTTCAGCCAGAAACAGGGTACTGATTTCATTAATCAAAATGTCTAAATGCTGCATTGCTGTGATTTACTGGTATAGCATTATTGGGTCCTACACAAAGCCCACCTTGACTGAAGCAGGATTAGACCATATTAACACTTGAATGCCAGGTCAAGAAAACTCAAAGCTATAGATTAGACTGTGAAGTCAAAAAACTTCACCAAAGAAGCCAACAGCAAACAACTGCCAGTCTTACAATGAAAACTACCTCTGTAGCCACTATCCCCAAGACAGACTCTTTCAATTATTGTTTTCAATGGGAAGGATGTCATTCCTTAGTTGGCCCACTTGATGGCACTAAGCACTACAGCCAAAAGTTCAGCAACTGGAAAATCTATCACTCTGGATCAAACTACCCAATTTGGACCAAGTACAATGTTTCCTTTTGTTCAAAACTAGGGATAGGTAATGGTTGATGCTCCAGGTGTTATGCACACAACAGTGCTCAACATCTTCAGCACCATTGGCTAAGTTGGCTAAGCAAAAAAAATGGAGCTAAACACATAGGTTACACATAACCCATACCTGCCATACAAGAAACACAAACCAAGTTCTCTTTGCTATTTTGAAATAAAGGAAGTAAAATTATGTCAGAAAAAATGTTCAGCCATTATAAGCTCAGGGGTCTTTTTTTGCTTCCATGCATTTCACTTTATTGATAGCACATTAATAAAATATCTTTTTTTAAAAAATACTCATTTAGATTGCCAGAATTTTCATCCTATTTTACGTTAAAAAAACCAATAATTTAGCAAAATTTTCAACTTTACAATCCACCTACTAGTTTTTCTTTCTAATCCAATATAAAAATAGAAATAACAATAAATTTGCTGAATACAGTCATTGTCATAGCAACTATCATTAAGACTTTACCCAATTACATCTCTTTTATTTCTTACCTCCAAACTTATCTATATTTATAACTGTCACAAATAGATTACAAAGATCTGTACCCATAGGTACTGCTAACTAGAGCAGATTTCTACAAAGAATGTAAGAATGATTTTGACAGTAAGAACAGCCTAAAATTCTGCAGTATTTTTGATCTGGGGGGAAAAAAGATGGCAGGGACATGCATGTAACATTTAAAAGCAACTCCTTAAAGCAAACACGTTTCTTTTGGATCACTCTTTAGCTGTGGAAAAGAATTGCATAATTGTGGGGGGAAATGCAACTGCTTTCAGACAATGCCAAATTACCTTGCTTCAAAATGATGACAAAAAATGGGATATAAAAAGAAGGGTGGCTGCAAAAAGGGCTCTGAAAGTTATATTGTATAATGTATATGGAGGGAAAGTGACAGTTGTGAACAATGTGGTCAAAGAGCAAGAAAGAGATCTGATTTTAAACAGTAGTAGCAATGTTAGTAATTTTGTTAACCTTTTGTTTTGTAATTTTGGAAAAGAAAAAAGGGAAAAAAATATAGAGTGATCATAATGGAAATAGGGGAGGGTTTTTTGGGAAGTGAATGATAAGCTAAGCAAGAATCCCATACGGACCTAACATCTTAGCCTACTTACACAAACCGTGAACCGGAGTGAGAGGAAGAAAACTTGGTTGTTGGGCATCAGTTCATATTTATTTGTACCCTGGCAGACATCTGTCCCAAATGTGACTTGATATCTGACATAACGTTGTGACTAAAAGGCTGCTTTTAAACCACGGAAAAGTTGTCATTGCAGCAGAGTTCTGCACCCAAAACATTCAAGCAGTCCCGACCTTAATTTTTAGCTGATAAATTGGGAGAAAGAAGGAAAAGCAGAAAAATGTGCGGCAAAAAGCAAGTATGTTTCAGTCCCGGCATTCAATTTACAGTATCTCTCCCCCCCCCCCCACCCCAGTTGTTTTTCTTTTTCTTTTGCTCTAAGGCAGGGGTCCCCAAACTTGGCAACTTTTAAGACGTGTGGACTTCAACTCTCAGAATTTCCCAGCCAGTCTTAAAGTTACCACGTTTGCGGGCCTCTGCTCTAAGGTTTCTAAGGGTGGTTTTATTACACTGTCGTTTAAAAAAAAATCTTGTTTCCAAAGAAAATATTTTGGCTCAAATAAATTAATAGACACACAAGCTATCACAAGAGATCAAGCGCCGCTCACACGTGCAAAAACAAAACAAAACAGAAACACGGATTACCTCTCGGAGGGAATAAAACGAAAGTTCCGTTCCGTCCGAGCGTGCGTGCGTGCGGACGTACTTACGGACGGACGGACCCAACGTTTCTTCCTGCTTCAGCGTTCTCTCCCGAAGCTATTCCATTGGCTGGCTCTTCCAACCGGAAAGGCGCAGACGTCAAAAGGCAGCGCTATATTGCGTGGATAGGTCAAGAAAAGAAAGGGGTGGGGCGGTTCAGGCACGACCCAAAGTCGTAATCCGGTGACTATGTAGAGATAAAACAAGAGAAGAGAAGAACAACCGTAACTTCCGGTGTTCATTCAGATGCCTCCCCTAGAGTAATGTCTATTAATATATTTGAAGAGCCGTTCCTCCCCTCTAAACCCCCTAATCCGTTTGAGAGTCAGTTGTATAGCACCGCAGATTTTATTTATTTTTTATTTGTCAATTGCTTACAAGACAATTGGTATAAGTAAAAACATAGTTATGAATACATGGATACATATAAGAAAAATAAAAAAAATATAAAAGAAACAATAGGACAGGGACGGTAGGCACGTTGGTGCGCTTATGCACGCCCCCTACAGACCTCTTAGGAAAGGGGTGAGGTCAATAGTAGAAAGTCTAAGGTTAAAGTTTTTGGGGTTTGGGGAAGAAACCACAGAGTCAGGCAGAGTATTCCAGACATTGACTACTCTATTGCTGAAGTTGTATTTCCTACGATCAAGTTTGGTGCGATTAACCTTGAGTTTGTATCTATTGTTTGCTCTTGTGTTGTTATGGTTGAAGCTGAAATATTCATTGACTGGTAAGACATTGCAATGTATGATTTTATATACTATACTTAGATCGGACCAAAGGTGGCGTAGTTGTAGGTTTTCTAGGTCTAGAATTTCAAGTCTGGTGGCATAAGGTATTCTGCAACGAGTAGCGGAGTGGAGAACTCTTCTTGTAAAATATTTCTGGACTTTCTCAACTGTGTTAATATCAGATACGTAATGTAGGTTCCAGACTGATGAGCTGTATTCGAGTATTGGGCTAGCAAATGTTTTTTGGTTTTTTTTTAAAACAATTTTATTGATTTTCTACAAACAAACAAGACAAACAAAACATTAAAACATCAACTCTCTTATGTACGTACAGTGTGTCGGTTGGTTCGTCAGTTTTGTGCATTCATTTCGTAGTCTCAATTACAGTTATGTTACATAACAACTCATATTGTCAATCCAAACTTATATATCCTAATATCGCTATTAATAAATCATATGACTATACTTTTAACCATTCATGCTTTATGAGATAACAATACTTTAAACAGTTTATTCTATAACAAATCATATAATCATACCAAATCTATCCTAAAAACACTTTATAGATATCATGTCAAATAACATAGGCAAAAGAAAAAATAAAGGTATTCCTTGCTATCTAACTTTCTAAATATTCTATTATCGTATTTTGTCATCTAGCCACTGATAAAAAAGATCCCAAATTTCATAAAATTGTTTATCCTCTTGCTCTCTAATTTCAAATGTCAATCTACTCATCTCAGCACATTCCAATATTTTCTTAATAATTTCTTCCTGTGATGGTATTTTCTCATTCTTCCAGTTTTTAGCAAATACAATCCTAGCCGCTGTTAACACATTTACAATCAGATATTTCAAATCTTTACTATATGTATCTGGTAAGATTCCCAATAAAAAGAACTCCAGTGGGCTAGCAAATGTTTTGTATGTTCTAGTTATTAGTGTAATATTACCAGAGAAAAAGCTACGTAAGATTAGGTTAACAACTCTTAATGCCTTTTTGGCTATGTAGTTACAATGGGCTCTAGCACTTAGATCATTTGAGATGAGTACTCCAAGATCCTTGACAGAGTGTGGATCATCAACAATGTCTTGACTATTCAGCCTGTATTTTATTTTCTGATTATTATTTTTTTGCCAATATGTAGGACAGAGCATTTATTTGTTGAGATTTGAAGTTGCCATTTGTTTGACCATTCTGATACATAGTCAAGGTCTTTTTGAAGGGTAGCAGTATTGTCTGTGGTGTTGAATACTTTACATCATCAGCGAAGAGAACGCAGTTGCTCTTGATATGATCACAGAGGTCATTTATGTAGAGTATGAAAAGAGTTGGTTCTAGAACACTGCCTTGGGGTACACCACTGTTGACAGGTACAGAATTTGATAGAACGCTCCCAATTTTGACCATTTGTTGTCTGTTTGACAGGAATGCTTCTATCCAGTAATGCAGGTGTCCTGAGATACTGTAAGATTTTAGTTTTAGGAGTAGTTTGTCGTGTACCACTGAATCAGAGGCTTTACAGAAGTCTATGTAGATTGCATCTATTGCTTTGCTCTGATCAAGTTGTGTAGTCCATATGTTTTTGCAGTGTAAGAGTTGCAGATTACAGGATCGTTTTTTTTTCCTAAAACCAAATTGTTTATTAGAGAGTAGGTAGTTTGTTTGTAAGTGGAGGATGATGGATTGATTAATAATTGATTCCATGACTTTACAGGTGACGCAGCATAAAGAGATTGGTCTGTAATTTTCAACTAGGTTGGGGTCTCCCTTTTTGAAGATGGGGATGACTGTGGCTTGTGACCATAGTTTTGGCAAGGAGCTGGTCCTGAAAGATTTTTCAAAGATAAATCAAACGTGTTTCTGCACTTGCAAAAAAAAAACACCTTTGGTGGTCTTCTTGGTGAAAGGTGGCTTAAGCGTGGGCTTTCTCCCCTTATTATGTCTATAGAGATTCTCAGTCATCCAGGTCAGGGATCTCCAAACTTGACAACTTTAAGACTTGTGGACTTCAACTCCCAGAATTCTTCAGCCAGCAAATTCTGGGAGCTGAAGTCCACAAGTCTTAAAGTTGCCAAGGTTGAAGACCCCTGATCCAGGTCATGGTTGTCCCAAAGGTGCTTTTTCAAGAGGCAACTCATCCAAGAAGCTTCTTCAGCTCTGATGCAGAGCTGCTTGCAGAGCTGAAGAAGCTTATTGGACAAGAAGCGAAACGTCTTCAAAGAAATAGCTGAAAGTCTGGTTGCCTCTTGAAAAAGCACCTTTGCCCCCCCCCCCCCCAATTAGTTCCAAATAAATAGGGGAGTCTGGGGGCCATGCTATGCATGGTCTCATTTAGGGGGCAGTAGATGGAGAGAGAGGGCAAAAATAAAGTGTTCTATGGAATTCTTGCAATCCACTTCCATAATGAATAGGTAATTAGCCTTGTGGGAATCAAAAATATAGCTTATTAATCTATTGTATTCAATAAATCCTATGGATGATAGGCCCCAGAAGAAAGAGATATGAACCAAAGTTTTAAGCTATGTTACAGAACTATTTGTAGTCCTGCTGAGCTGTTGCTGACTGTGAAACATGTTTTTGCAAAGTATGTGCTTGTATGAATACATTTAAAACAGGAAGAATGAAACTGTTGGAAATGAGGAACTTAACATAATGTATGGAAAGTGACAGTGAAGTTGTGAAGTGTGTATGTGGTTAGAAGAAAAGTATAAAGGATGGGATTGGAGATCAGCTTGGGCCCCTTTGTTTTTATGGCAGCCCTTGTAGTATCTCCTATATGTCACTGGACCCCATTGCAATGGCTTATTAATGTAAGTTTATTACTGCCATTATATATTTTATATCTATTCATTTCTTATGTTTCAAATTATTAGAAACAATAAATCTCTGATCTTAAAGTAAGAATTATTGCTTGTTTTGTCTTTGTTTCCTATTGGAATTTTCTTATGACAGCCTCAAGAATAGAGCAGTGATCTTATTCCTTGTATTTTTGTTTTAAAAAGCTTTGATTTTCTTGTTTTGATTTTAATTGGATTTTTGTAATCTCTTTTCTGTTTAATTTAGCTGACTTAGGGAGTTACTCAATCTATGAAGACTCATTCTGTCCTAGCAGAAATGCTCTTCTGGTCAAACTATAATTTCTAAGTGATATCAGCAGGTTCTTGCTGCTGTATTGCTGTTGGCCAATATTGATGCCTGTTTGTTGAAATTATATACTTGACATTCACTCTGTGTTGTTCACTAACGGCACTCCCGCTATGATGAGGCAGCAGAGCAGGTCATGTGAAGGTATGTGTGCTTACTCCTAATTAAGTTCCACAGTTCAGTAAGGCTTCGTCTGCAAATTAGCAAGCATAAAATGAAATCTCAGAAACAGGTTTTATTATAGATGCAGATGACTAATTTGTTCATTTTAGGTTATTAAATAATTAGGTACATATCATGCATGTAAATATATTTTATAATGAGTTTCACTGCAACTTAAATTCACATACCTCAGACTGCAAAATCAGTAAATAACATATGTTTCTATTTGCTTTGCCACTTACGTCTTAGTATCAATAAGAATATTGTTGCTTTCTTTTAATTCTTTGCAGGACATTTGTCCCCATCTTTTGCTCAGCCTCCAGAGGCAATGACCTCTCCTCAAACATCCAGTAAGAGAGACATGGCTACTCTCTGGGGATCTGCCCATGCAAATTCAAATTTCGCCTTGTAAAAAAGGAGGAATAAATCCCATTCTCTTCCACTTAAGAAAAAAAACAAACCAGTGTTACAGGTTTGCTTCGCATTAGTTTTCTCAAAAAACAAGTTACTGCAGGCTGATTAGAATCGGCTTTACCTCAACATTTTCCTATCTGTTGAGATGATGCATGTTGGCAATATGCCAAAAAGTGAAGCAAAGGCTCAGCATGTGGGTGGTAGAGAGACTTGTGAAATGAGAGCAATTCCCAACATGCCTTAAAAAAAAATCCCGTCTCTGATGATGCTTGCCAGCTGCAAGCTGAGTATAAAAGGAGTATGAAACTAATTTTGAGCATCTGATCCTGCCATGCCATGCAATCTAATATTTCATTTTTATGTGGTTTCCAGGGACCTTTTATATCCTGCCACAATAGCATTTTCTGGTTGTTGTTTTTTAAAGAGAACAATGGAAAGGGCACAGATTTTTGAAAAGAGCTTGCAGAGAATGAGTGCGAGTGATCTTGAGGAGTGTGTAAGGTAAAGATTTCCCCTGTCCAGTCATGTCTGACTCTAGGGCAGTGCTCACCTCTGTTTCTTGGCCAAGGAAGCCAGCGTTGTCCAAAGATATATTTT